AAGCAACGTCCTCCACAACTAGACTGAAGAACAAAACGACAGCAACTTGTCTGTTCCCCTTCCCCCAATTCCCCAATAAAAATCTTTAAAATAAAAAGTTATTACTGTTTATGAAGATGTTAAATTTAATATGATATCTATATTGTTTTATTTAATGTATATATGTTAAGGCTCTAGTTTAAATACTTTAAATATATTATTTGTGTATTTATATATTCATTCATGCCTAAATACACATGCATATAAATTATGTATATTTATAAATTTTATACAGTAGATAGTTATGTGACTAATGTACAAAAGAGGAAAATTAGAATTTGAGTCTTTTTTTCTGTAGAAGAATTCAGTTATTATGTGCCCAAATTAGTAGAGGTTCCTTTTTTCCACCAAAATATTTGTTAATTCTCAGTGTTTTCTAACATAGTCTTAAATCATTTTGAAAAAATTCCTTCATACTTTTGAAAAAATTTACTTCCTAATACCATTGTTGTCTATAGCTATGCTTTTACAATGTTGCCTGTAAATATTTCTTGTCTTTGGATACTTATAAGTTAATACTCATTTACTCTAACAACTATTCTTAATTTTGTTTTTTCTCTGCTTAGGTCTCAGATTCAGAATAATGCCTAAACTCTCACCAGGCCTCCCAAAATGGCCACTGGGGAAAAAAAGAGTTGTTCCTTTACTCTGCACATGAAAGGTCAAGAAACATAATTAGATTTTTCCATAATGCCTGAAATTAAAAAGAAAAATTATTATGAGAAATCGTTGTTTACAAAACTTAGGGGAAAACTGACAATGCAAAAAGCCAGGTAAATTATACATAAACAAAATGTGTTAATAAAAATACCTTTCAATGATTATAGTATACTTTTCAAGTTAAAAGAAGCCAGCCTATCAAAATATTTTGTTTTCAGGATTCTAGATTCAAAAATCCTTTGTTTTTGTTCATGAAAGGCCTGACTGAACAAGGCTGCGGAGTGCTGACTCTTCAGAGGTTTACTACTTGTTTAATTAAGTCTTTCATTAGATCCTGTACCCAAAGTGCACCCATTTTGTCGAACGGTAGTAAAACATATGAAAGCTTCAGTTGACTGTTCTAGGGTCTCCGCTGAAACTAATTGTTCCCCAAACCATGCAGATGTTTTTACTGACAAACACTCAACATTTCTCGATTTCCGGTGGTGCGGAACAGAGTGGTCAACGGCCTGCAGTGCCCCATGCCCAAGTTTTATTGTGACTACTGCGATACATACCCCACCCATGACTCTCCATCTGTGCGAAAGATACACTGCAGTGATAGGAACCACAGAGAATGTGAAAGGCGACTGTCAGAAATGGATGGAGGGCCGGCCGAGTGGCACGATGGTTAAGAACTGGCTTGGGACGCCAGAGGGCCCTGGTTCGGATCCCACATATGAGGGCCAGTGACACTGCCCTCCACAGCTAAGATGCTGAAAGACAGCTCGACCTGGAGCTGGGCTGCTGTGAGTCGCCAGCGATGGCATAGGCTGCAGCCCCTGTGGCAGTGGGTTGCCATGGGCTACCGTGTGTAGCCAGCAGTCAGCGTGAGTGGCCAGCAGCCGCCGTGAGGGGCCGTCCAGAAGCCCGCGGCTGATCTGCCTCGCCCGGGAAGAGCTCAATGATGGTGCCAACTTGGGCCAGTGAAGCAACGTCCTCCACAACTAGACTGAAGGACAAAAACGACAGCAACTTGTCTGTTCCCCTTCCCCCAATTCCCCAGCACTGTTCCCATCCCCCCAGTTCCCCAATAAAAATCTTAAAAAAAAAAAAAAGTAATGGATGGAAGAGCGGGCTCAGAGCCTGACTGACAAAACAACCGTAGCATTTCAGCAAGGAACGATACCTCCTACTCCAGTCTCTGCTCCTCCTCCCGCGGGGGGCAATGATCCCACCTCCCCCCAGTCTCCCGGGTCCTCCTCGCCCTGGTATGATGCCAGCACCCCACATGGGGGGCCCTCCCATGATGCCAGTGATGGGCCCTCCTCCTCCTGAGATGATGCCTGTGGGACCTGATCCTGGAATGAGGCCCCCTATGGGAGGCCACATGCCAATGGTGCCGGGGGCCCCCAGTGATGAGACCTCCCGCCCGTCCCATGATGGTGCCCACTTGGCCAGGAATGACTCGACCAGACAAATAAGGAAAGAGGAGAGCCTCTTTCTATCAGTTTTATAGAACTTGTTCTGTTTCACCAGGAGATCCTGGTGGTGTGACTCTGGGTGTTTTCTAACAGCAGGACAAGAAAAACTCGCTCCCCCTTCCTATCAAAGAGAATAGTTTGGGAAGGGAGTAATGGGACAAAAAACAAAGCAATTTTCATCTGTACTGTGAAATGTGAAAATAAAATTCTCAACTTTTAATTAAAAAAAAACAAAACAACAAAAAACTCAACATTTCTCAGCTAGCTGCCTAACCTCCTATAAAATACTGTTATTTCCCTAACACACTACTGTCCATGACCACAACACTAAACCCAGTCACCCTCATGCCCTTACCAAAAAGGATAACCCCATCATTGATTACCTCCTTAGGAAACCAGCCATAATACAGCAGGTCCTCAAGTGACTTCGTTTCCTTCAGGGTCTTTCGGTTATAAGGTTGGTGAGACCAAAAAAAAAAAAAAAAAAAAAGAATTTCAGCCAGGGACACCGTCTGGGTGGAGTGTGTACTTCCATGTCTGCCTGGGTTTCCTCGCACAGCCCAAAGATGTGCGTGCAGGTGAGGGTCACTGGCCTGTCTCACTTGTCCCGGTCGGCGTGAGTGTGGGTGTGAATGAAACACACGTGAGACATACATGTATTTAAGAAACATGAACCCAAACAAGGAAGGTAATGCTTTTCCACCCCCTTGATTCCACTTGAGGGTCATGGGTGGCGGGAGCGGCTGCCGGCAGCTAACTCTGGGTACAGGGTGGGACCCCGTAACTCTGGGTACAGGGTGGGACCCTGTAACTCTGGGTACAGGGTGGGTCCCACCGAACCTGGACAGGCAGCCTTCTATCCCAGGGTTCCTCCCCACGTACACCCAACCCACACTCACACTGGGACAACGTAGAGTCATCAGCGAATTTCTCCCCACCCCTTTGGGACATGGGAGGAAACCAGAGTCCCCAGATTCCGTGGGGAAAAACTCATGCAGAAATGGGACTGGCTGCAAATTTCACGATGGCCAGATTGGACTCCATTTTTTTTGTTGTTCTCTCCCTCATCAACCTTGTAAGGAAACAACGCTGAAAAAAAAATGTTGAGGACCTGCTGTATATTGAATTTATATCAGTTTCTAGGACAGCAAGTACTCCCTTGAACCTTCTGGATGACAAAAAAAAAATCAAAAATACAAAAAATCAAGAATTCCAAAAGTTCTGATTCCCACAGTTTGGAGTTCGCGTTCTCTAAACTTCAAGATCGGCATCTTGAAACAGAACCGTTTACATGTAGCCCTCGGAGGTCTGCGGGGAGCAGGGCTCAGGACTGAAAAAGCCATCACGTAAGGAATCGGGGGGGGGGGGGGGGAAGGTCCCACATGTACGGCATTTGCAGGATTTGCTGGAGACCCTGACTCCTCACACTAGCTCCATTTTCTCCATCACCCACACGATGCTGTGAGAAGGGACGGAACTGGACCCAAGTCACACAGCGGCTAACGCGCGCGGTGTCCGGGACTGATCGCCGCGGGACTCGGGTCTCTTCCAGCACGCGAGTCAACCTCACACCGAGAACAGCCCCACGCCGCGCGCTCTCCAAAGGGGCTTAAGCACTGCGACCCCGGGGCCATTGGCTAAGCCTGGCCCGACCTAAGCGGGAAGGTAACCCTGGGGCGTTGGGCACAGCTTTCGCCAAGCGCGCGCTCTAGGAACGGAAACGCGGAGCCCCCAGCGCAGGTGCGCGCGCACCTGTCGCTCGCCATGCGCGTGGCGGGAGAGGGGGCGGGGACGCGAGCCTCGCTCCGCGCGCGTGCGCCCGGCGATGTTGTCCCCCCCCCTCCCGTACGTGCGTCCTACGTGGGCTCCGTGTCCCTGCGCTCCGAGGTTCGGGCCGGGAGCCGGGCGCGTGCCGACTGGGAGTCTGGGAGGGGCGTTTTCCGGGGCGGTGGCGACGCCCCCTGGCGGCGGCCGCGCGGCGCTGGAGGCACGCAGTCAGGCGTTCTCCGCGGGCAGCCGGCGGTGGGGCCTTGCCTCCTAGCGCGGGGTCCTCGGCGGCCTGGGTGGCTACTGCCCCTGCTGCTGGCACAGGCGAGGGCGGCTGCGAGTGCGGCTGCAGTTGGTTGGCGGCGGCGGCGGCGGCGGCGGCGGAGGAGGAGAAGGCGAGCGAGGCGACGGGGGAAGGAGGAGGCAGGCGCGGCGGCGGCGGCGGCGGCGGCGCCCGGGGCCGGCGGCGGAGAGGGGGGTGAAGATGGCGGACGTGCTCAGTGTCCTGCGACAGTACAACATCCAGAAGAAGGAGATTGTGGTGAAGGGAGACGAAGTGATCTTCGGCGAGTTCTCCTGGCCCAAGAACGTGAAGACCAACTATGTGGTTTGGGGGTGAGTGCGGCCGGGCTGTGGCCGGGCGGAGTCGGGCGCCCCCAGGCGACCCCTTCCCGGGCCCCTCCCCCCCGTTCCCTTTGGGGATGGGGCTCACGGGGGCTCGGGGAAAAGTTTTTCTCTGGGGCAGAAGTTCCACTTGTAGGTAAGGAGGGAGAGGTGGGAGCTGCGTCTGGAGCGGTCCATCCCTGGAAGTCTTGGGGGAGCTAAAGGGAAGAGGTGCCGCGGCGGCTTCTGACTTCCCCAGCTCGTGTTGACCCCCGATGTGGCTGGAGCGCCAGCGGCGCGCATAGGTGCATCAAGCAGGAGCGCACCGTCCGCTCCCGGGGACGCCTCTTTTTATTCAGGTTTTTTTTTTTGTGTGTCACCCCTGCCCCTCCCTCCCCCACCTCCCGGTCCGAGGCTGCCCTGTGTTGCTAACTATCTCCGCTGCCCCTTGCCACTCCTGCTCTGTTTCTTCTCCTTTCGCGATTCCCTCAAGGAGAGAGCAGGGAGCCAACGGCATGGAGTTGGGACGGGAAAGAGAGGTGGTCACTTTGCAAAGAGCCATCCAAATGGGGTTGGAAGTGAAGGCAGGCGTTTCCGCCAGGGACAAAGTTACCGGCGAGGTAGAGGGAGGTTTACGAGTTCCGAGTTAGACACGGACGGGTGTGTGTGTGTGTGTGTGTGTGGTTTTGGGAAATGTGGTTTAAAGAGAGGTGTGTTGGGGACATCGATCCACGTGGGGTGTCCTGAGTTGAAGTCGCTGAGAACAGATCTAGAGAGAGAGAGGTCTGCGAATCGTTTGGGCCTTTTGAGCGCTGTGTCTCTCGTTGGTGGTGGTTCATTGGGATCATGAGAACCTTGGGTTGGAACTTCCTTCCATCCGTGTGTTGTGTGATTGAATGGAAGTAGTGGGCTTTATGAAGAAGAGCTGATGGAAATCTAGGGGGAAATCTCGCTGGTCGTTTTCGTTTTTTTTTTTTTTTTTTTTTTTGGCTCGAGGGATTGTGATTTAATTAGCTTCATGGAATGTTAAGAAGTGACATCATTCTATTTTCCTGTGTTTCGTCCGTTCAAAACAATCTGAGACTGAATTACATTTGGAGTTTTAACTGTTTTTTTTTTTGTTTTTGTGTTTTTAACGGTTAAGGCGTTGGGCGGTTCAATCTGAGAAATAGGAGAATTCTTAGGACTCTGGTCCCTCCTCAGAGGAGGTTAACATCATCAGGATAGAGGAGATGAAACCTGCGCTAGGTCTTAGGAAGAGAGCAGTCACTTCTAGCTTGGGGGTATTAGGAAAGATTTCATAGAAGTATATTTGGCATGTAGACATGCTACACATTTTTCTTGAATAAATGAATGAACAGAGGAATAAGCTTTAAAGAATGGGTGGGAATTCTGAAGGTGAAATAGTGGATTAGGTCTTTCAGGATGAGAGAGCTGTGTTCCTAAAAGGCGTGAATGCTGGAAAGGAAATGTTTTGAGAGCTGTTTAGTGGACCCAGTAGTGAAAAAGGAGTGCTTAGAATAGTAGATATCAAACTTTTACAACAGTGAATCACACCAATAAGTATATTTTCATTTATTATTAATCTGTGTGCATGTGTAAATATGTACATATTCATAACATTGAACAATATGCCCTTATTGCATGCAGTATGTTGAGTTTATTTTGTTTTTCTATATCATTAAAACCCCATGGTTGTTACCCATGTTTTTTATCTCATAGTACAATAACTGACAACGATGTGTGGTTTGAAATATATAGATTTAGAGGAACAGTGGAGATAGAGGCTAGAAAATAAGGTTCGGGGCTGATTATACTGGGCCATGTTCAAGTGAATTCAAATGCTTTGACATTGCTCGATGGGGAGAATGTTGTAGGAAGGGTGGGATTGGACATTAACATTTTTTGAGCAAGTAGTAGTATATTATGTTCTTGTCTTAAGAACTTGCACCCCTAGTCTACATTGTTTTATCACAGGTAGAATTCATTTTGGTTTTACATCACTGGTTTAATTTGAAGGATGTCATAAGACTTATACCTCAGCAATTCATTGTTGTGTTTACTCTAAGATCATTACTTAGGAGACATAGGATACATTTCTTGTAAGTTTAGCACCAGTAACAGTTGTGCTGCTTTTAATCAGTTTGTTCTTTTATGAATCCTCTCCAGTGTGTTACTGATTAGGTTTCTCTGTTGACAAAGCCCAGAACGTAATTTGGGCCAAATATTAAAAAGTGTATATAGTATCTTAGAGTATGGATGTTGTATGCTTGCTTTCTTGCTTTTTTGCCATTGTCTACCATTGTGTTCCTTTTGCCCTACCACTTAATGACAATTCCACTTACTGGATTTCATGCTTTGTATTTTTGTTAGCCATGTTAAATCTATTGTTGTGTAGCAAAGTGGATATAGGCAAATTAATACACATGATTAAGCCTAAGGAGTTGAAACAGAATTGTGAGTAAAACTCTTGCTATGATTCTTTCAGGACTGGAAAGGAAGGCCAGCCCAGAGAATACTACACATTGGATTCTATTTTATTTTTACTTAATAATGTGCACCTTTCTCATCCTGTTTATGTCCGACGTGCAGCCGTAAGTAGACTTCATTTTAAAACTTTATTGATTTGATTGGTGGTAGGTATCATTTGGCATGGAAAATGTCCCTCATGGGTTTCAAATAAAAAAAATGAGAGGTTTGTATGAAAGCTTCCTGGAGGGTTGTGATTAGATTATTGTGATTTACGCATATTTTTTAATATGTAAAATGTGGGCAATGTTTACAACAACAGACGTTTTAAAGACATTGTAGGGATGTTTTAAAAAATTTGTGAGTCTGTGGATGGACCCTGAAATTCAGAACTCTGATTTAATCTCAGAACTTTTTTGACATCAGGAACAGTAAAGATCAACAACTTTTTAAAATTAATTTTTCATCAACAAACTTTTTTCAGATTTTATTGATAAATTTGTTTTCAGTTTTGCCTACTTTCTACACCTCAGTGTTTGAACACTGCTTTTCTGAACAAGAAATACATGTTTAGTGTCAAATATGTATTGAAAGAAATAATATATAAAGTGAAACAATTTGGAATCTGGGGAAATAGTGGGATAACACAGCGGCATTTCTGTAGAGCTGTGTTAACTCGGATCTTAAAAACTGAAGTAGGCAGTAACTAGAATGTTTTGTTGAGTGTATCCATTCATTTTGGGGTAATAAAGGTGGGCCAGATACTGGATTTAGATGTAGAGACTCTGTTCTTGGGGAATGGGTGTAGCACAAACTGACACTGTGGTCGTTACTGTGGCCCTCAGGACCCTTGGTCACACTCTTTCATTTTTCTTAACTACTTGTGAAAGATCGAAAGGGCAGGGCTCTAAAATTCTAGGTTCTACAGTTTTATTTTCCTAACCCCTTTTTGTTACTTGCTCTTTCCTTGGAGCAGACCATTTCGGAAATGCGTTTGCCTGACCCATAGCTCCTCGCTTGGTTGAATGGACTCACATCTTTTTCAGTTGGCTGTGATGTGTGTATAATTCATTAGTGACCAAATCCTGAAGTATGTTCTCAGACTTAGAAACAGTAGTTTAAGGAAAATTAATCCAAATCTTTTAAGTGTTTATGATATCCTTGTAGACGAGTGCACAGAAAAACCTGTGGGCTCTTAAATGTCTAGATTTATAAGCATAAATTACAGTTTAGCCTACTCTTTTTCAAAAACATATTAATTTTAAGTGATTAAATACAGTTCATCTCTTATCATTGAGGACCATGTATAGAACGTTTGGTGCAGTGACGTTAAATCAGTATTCAGTATAAGGTTGTTAGCTAGGACTTCTAAGGTTTCTTGTTACTTCATTGTTGCTTATGTAAACTGACCAAAAGGATTTTCACTAGGTATTCCTGCAGCCGCTAGTTTATCCTGTACTCTATGTTATAGAGTTATAATGTAAACAAACAGTTATAGTGTAAACTGTTTGTTTATATTATAAAAACGATACGGAAAGTTATAATTACAGAATTCACTGAATTCATGGCCCAAAGATGACTTGGTGCCTAAAGTATGGTTTTGTTTTGCTCACCTCTTTACAAATTGCTAATATAGGAATTTAAAGGAAAATTATCTTTTTTAACAAAGTATATACATTTTTCCAGATTTAGCTTTTTAACCTTATAGAATTTATACACACTTGAGGATAAAAAATAAATATGCACTGTAGAAAGGAAACAACCACCGTTAGCATTTCCCTGTATAATGTAAAATTTCCCCCATGCCAATCAACACATACTTATTGTTAATGATAAAAATTTAGTTTTAGTGGCTAAGTTTATTAGTATATTTTGAGGAGATCTGGTCTGGGTGTGAGAAAAGAAAGCACTTTGGAAACATTGCATAAAATGAGCAAGCAATGGGACTGAAAAGATATTTGCCCTCAACGCGCAAACCATCACGAGTAAAAGGAAAAATTAAATACTTACAGTAAGCGATGGGAACAAATAAGACTCAAATTGATATTTTGAAGAGGGAAAGGGGCATTGTTTCATTTCTAATAACTATCTTTTGCATATCTTATTTGAGTTTCGAGAGTAACCTAATCAAAAATTAATATGCTTAATATTTTTCAAGATTTTTATTAGGTTCTTTTAACCTACTCATTTCCTAAAAATGCAGTTCTAAATAATGTTATGAAGATATGTTGGAGTAAAATGCAAACATTACATGATGTTCATCTTGACCAAGTTCCTTATAGTTGTTTTTGGTTTGGTATCTAATTTAAAATTTTTATTTTAGACTGAAAATATTCCTGTGGTTAGGAGACCTGACCGAAAAGATCTACTTGGGTATCTCAATGGTGAAACATGTGAGTCATTCTAAAATTGCTCTCATTCCTGTTTTTGTTTTTTAGAGGCTTAAAACAATAGAATTTATTATTTCACAGTTTTGGTAGGTCAGAAGTCCAAGCCATGGCATAGCTGGGTTCTCTGTTCAGAGTGTCACAGGTTGAAATCAGGATGTTGGAGTCCTCTTCGAAGTTCCTCCCGGTTGTTGGCAGAGCTCAGCTGCTTGCAGATATAGCACTGTCTCCAGTTTTTTGCTGGCTATGGAATGGGGTTTGTTCTCCTCAACTAAAAGTTGCCCACTTCTTTGTCATCTGTCTTCCTCCATCTTCAAAACCAGCCATGGAGAATTTTCTCGTGCTTTGAATCCTGAAATTGTTCTCACTCTTAAGTGGATATTGTGTCCCCCCCGCCCTCCGTCCCTCAATCCCCTCCTCCCATGAAATATGCAATGGGTAAAAGAATTTGTATCCCCAGTAAAAAATTGACCTACCTGCGGCTGTGTCCATGTGCTCTCTTTTCTTTCGTGTTAAGTGGGTGCGCAGTCTTTGCTCCTAAGGCCAGTCGCCTATCTCCTTTCACACTTTCAAAGACTGTGCCTTGGAAAATTGTTGATTTTCTCTTGCTCCATCATTTTTTTTTTCTTCTGCATCATTCCCTTTAGAGATACATACAGCAAGAGCTCTTATTTAAGAAAACATTTTGACCCCACATTCTTTGCGTGGTATCACTGCTGCTTCTTTACCTCTGCTTCCCTCTTGACTCCTCTGCAGCCTGGCTTTCTTCCTCACATACCACTGAAATTGCCCTATGAGGTCTACACTGGCTTGGGGATTGCATACCCTGGGTCTTTTAGCCACAGCTGTATTGACCTCTTAGCAGCACTTGATTCTGTTGACTGCTCCCTCCTGGGGAGCCTTTTCTTCGCTTGCCATTTAGGGCACCAGGCTCTTGAGTTGTCTTTCTACTCGCTGTCCGTCCCCCCCACCCCCATTTTATTTCGCGTACTTTCTTACCTCTAATGCTGACCTATTCCTGAGCTCCAGGCTTATGAATTCACTCTCAGCATCTTCCCTTGGATATTTTACAGCCATCTGGAATGTAACATATCTGAAAGTAGAGTGCGGATTCTCCTTCTGCTCTCTTGGAAACAAAACTAAAACAGCAAGTCTATTCATTGGTGTTCCCATCTCAGTGAACGGGATCCCATTCATGTAGCTGCTTAGGCCAGAAACCCTGGAGAAATCTTTGCTTTCTCTCCTCTTACATCTCACATCTATCCCATCTTTAAAATTCTGACAACTCCTGGGCCGGCTGAGTGGCTCAGTTGGTTGAGAACTCACTCAGGAGTGCGAGCTCTGGGTGGCAGGGTCGCCGGTTCGATTCCTGGCCTGAGTTGAGCTGCCAACAGGTGGCAGGATGGCTCACCTAAGATGAAAAAAAAAATTCTGACAACTCCTTACCATTTTCCTCCCAGCCTGCTCCAGGCTTCCTCTACTGTGTGGCCTTCTCACATGTCCCCACTCCACCCTTTATTTTCTATGGCACAGTCTCCGCCTACCATTAGTAACCTGGTTTTGAAAAAGCATGTAAACTGGATTGTGTCACTCACCTGCTCAGGGCCACCCTGTGCTTCCGTCACACTTAGAATAAAGCTCCTACCTCTCATCCTGACCTGAATGGTCTTGCTTCTCAAACCTCTGACCAAGTCTTCTACCAGCCTTCCTTTGCTCCACAGCAGTACAGTGTTGTTGGTGCTTTTAATGGTTCTAACCCTCAGATCCTTTGCAATTGCTGTTCTCTCTGTTTGTTTCTCTACAGTGGTACATGGCTCAACTTCTCACCACCTCATTCAGCTCTCTGCAGATGGTGTTCTGTCCGAGAACTTAGCTGACCGTTCTAAAAAACAGCATCACTTTCCCTCATACTCCTGTCTGGGTCTAGTACCATCGGATTTACTTGTTATCAAGTCCCTTATGTTGACCTAAAATTCCATATTTATTTGTTGACTTATAGATTGCCTGCCTCCCCGACTAGAGGGTAAACTAAGGGGGCAGACAGTTGTTAAAGACCTATCATTGATTGGCTTACGAGATGCTTACCTGAGTCTGAGCAGTTATTAATAAATACAATGTAGCTATAAAAAGAGTTAGAAAAGACTTTATGTACTGATATGGAGGGATGTTGGAGATACACTGGTAAAAAAAGAAGGCTCAGAACAGTGTACATAGTTTACTATCCTTTGTGTAAATAGGAGGAGGAATAAAAGTATAGTTTTGTAGTTCTTGTATCTACAGAAAGAAACTCTGGAGAGAGATGTAAGACTGTAACAGTCACTACATAAGGTGGTGGGAACAAGGTGGGTGGGGACAGGGACGGACAGCCTGTGTTATCTTTCCGTTATTTTGAACCATTCAGAAATTAAATGATTTAATTTAAAAAATAATTTAAAATTTAAATCCAATTATGAATAAAAATTGTATTTTAAAGTGAATGCTAACTTGAAAAGTAACCTTTCCTTCATACATATACACATATGTTTATGTATTTATGTTTTGGTATCCTTTCATGGGCATGTGTATTGGAATATGTTCTTTGAAGTAACCAGTTGATTTTAGTCAGATTATCTCAATAAGTTGTAATCTAAATTCTTGAAAACAGTTATTCGTCCTGGTAGACTTTGTAATGTGCATTGATCTTTTATAATAAAATGCATTTACAAAGCTGCTTAAAAACTCATTTTTTACCTAGGGAAATCACCGTATATAAAGTAATATGTCAGATCTTGAGCATTTCACTTGTAATAATGTCCAGTATATGTGTTCAAAAAAGATCTCACATAAATCTTTTTAAATCTTCAGCAACATCGACAAGTATAGACAGAAGTGCCCCTCTAGAAATAGGTCTTCAGCGATCTACTCAAGGTATGTCTTGTTAAATGTTTATATTGAATTTTCAAAAACCTATCCCAAAACTAGACATTTATTTACTTCTGTTTTTCTTAGTCAAGCGAGCTGCAGATGAAGTTTTAGCAGAAGCAAAGAAACCACGGATTGAGGTAATGGAACTCTATTTTAAAGGTGAATCATATTGTTAACAAAAATTAGGATTGTGCAGCAGTAAGAATTCTTTGCTCGTAGTCGTCCTAGGAACTTTTTTTCTGGAAGAATTGTTGTAGAATAAACAGATGATTAGTAAGTAGCTTGAACTGTTGTAGCTTAAGATCTCTCACGTATAAGCTACATGATGGACAAAGTCCTTTATTTTCCTTATTGATGAAAGTGTTGGACTAGATTGGGGTTAGAAAACTGTTTTTATGAAGAGCCAGACAGTAAATATTTTAGACTTTTTGGGCCATTTAGTGTCTATCCACTATTCTGCTGTTGTGGTGTGAAGGCGGCACAGATGATACGTGAATGAGCAGGTGGGGCTGTGTTCCAGTCAGATTTTACCAGACAGATGGTGGGCCAGCTTTGGCTGTGGGGTTGTAGTTTGCCTAGTCCTGGAATAAGAGAGTGTGGAAGTTTGCTTTACTCTGTGAACTATGAACATGAAGTGCTTATTACACTTACTTTTAAAAATACTGACTCATTAGGTTACATAATTTTTGTAGCATTTTATAGCCAGCAAGTGGAATATTAATATTGGTGAATAAAGATAGTTCATGTGACATAGAAGCCAAAAAGAGATATAGTTAACCTCTGGAGATAAAATTTGTTGATTAGCTAGGGTATACTGCATGAGACAGTTAAACCTTAGGAATTTAGTGATACTATTTATTGAAAGTTATAACAAGCCCCAGATCAGTTACATATCAAACCCTCTGAAAATGGAGGATTATGTACTAGAGGCATATTTAAGTCTGAGAAATGACTAAACTGGCCATATAGCAATTCACAATGTAGGAATAACACTTGTAGTCATCACTAGTGTTAACATGACTAGAAAACATGCGTCTGTGCATTTCACACTTGTATAAAAATCAAATAAATAGTTGTACCTTCTGCCTGCCACAGAAATAGCAAAGCATCCGCGATTACGGATAAGAAAGGGAACTGTTAACGGGACAGGGTTGGTTGGAAAGTACGTAGAGTAGAATCATGGGCAAAATTTGATGCTAAAGTAATGTTTCGCATACTTTGAGACCCGGGCCTGATGTAGTTTAGGTAGCGACAATGGCGGTTAGCTCACTGTTACTGCTCTGTGCTAGGTGATATTCCGTGTACTTTGTGTGTGTTAACTCACAAACCCTTACCATAAGCCCCTGAAGTTGGCAGTGCTGGGCATGTCGTCCACCAGCAAACGGGCCCAGGGAGAATAAGTGACGTGTGAGGCTCGCAGAACCAGGTAGCCAGTTGTTCCACTATACCGGGTACACATGTTGTGGCAGGAAAACTGAAATTTTCCCCAGCTCTCTGTGAAAGGAGATTGTGACCCACTGCACAAAATGGGTGAATTTAAACGGACCATTTATTGGGAAAACCCTCAAATTCACAGTTTAATTATTGAACAAGCTTAATTATTGAAAAAATTGAACATGTCATAAATGTTAATTTGCTAGGATTCCAATAATTTGAAAAACCAGCAGGAAACAGCATAAATAATAAAATTCTTTCCAGAACATTTACAGAGTTAGTTACTTAAACAGTCATGTTACGTAAACTGTTTCCAGTTCAGCAGATACATATTGAGAATGTGTAAGACACTACGTTAGGAGGGAGAAAGAAACCTTGAGGGTAGGGATTCTGATCTGATTAAAATCTAGGCTGCAGTTATTAAAATCAGCAGCTTGTTAAGGAACTTGAGAAATATGTGTTACACCTTTATTACAAATGACAGACATGTATCGCAGTTTCTAAAATATTATCCTTGTATTTATGTCAGTGGTATGTTTTGTTTTAAGAATTTTACATGATAGATTAATGTTAGAGCATGAATTGAAGCACAGCATCTTTTTAGACTTCTCGAAGGTATGGATGATACTTTTTATACAGTTTCTTACTCCATTAGTCAGACATTGACTGGTCCTCAGTGTTCTCGCTTTTAAATGTTGCAGTTAAACTAGATCAGAGTTACTAAGATTTGTTGTTAAGTAACCAAACACTTTTGAGCCTGAATTTTACCTGAAATTCTAATTTGTCAATTAGGTAAAAAGCTGAGTTACCGAGGTTGAATTCAGACAAAAGTGACCCATGGGACCCTTTGTAGGGAACATGCTTTGTAGAAAACCATTCAGTTTCACGTCTGGTGTTTGGATCTGTGCTGATGGATTCAGGGCCTGGGCAACAGATGAAAAAATCTAGATCCAAAACGAAATTTTTGACTGTGGTGAAGGTTTTTCATAAAATTTGGTTAGAAACTTCCCAGAAGAGTAGGAATTTATTTGTTGTATGATAGCTTTTTGAATAAAGGTAGCTATGCTATGTTTTGGGAAGACCACTTAATCATAAAGTTACTGAAGTTTTTGGGTAAGCTTTCAGTCAGTTCTATTTTTATGTGATCCAACATATAATTATTATTGTCTTTATGTAACTAAAAGTAATCTTCAAGTTGACGTAAGGCCAGTGGTGCCTGGAACTTTATTATTTATTTATTTATATTTTTAGCTGAGCCATCCTGCCACCTGTTGGCAGCTCAGCTCGGGCTGGCAATCGAACCGGGGACTCTGTTGCCCAGAGTTCGCACTCTTGAGCGAGCTCTTAACCAACTGAGCCACTCGGCCGGCCCTGGAACTTTAGAGGCGGGGATTTATGCAAGGGAAAGTTACACGTAGTGTGTTTTTTGTTCTAAATATTAAATAAAAATTGAAGGTATTTTCTAATCTGTGATTGTTTTCAGGATGAAGAGTGTGTGCGCCTGGATAAAGAGAGATTGGCTGCTCGCTTGGAGGGCCACAAAGAAGGGATTGTACAGACTGAACAGATTCGGTAAGAATTTCATTAGTAGAAAGTAGGCAGTTTAGGTGTATGGAAATGCATGTGGAAAATGGGATATTGATGTGCTCTCTGCATGTATCTCTTGCATTCATTATGTGCCTCTGTGCCCTGAGTTCCAAAGATGATGTGTGTGTGTGTACGCCATTGTGCTAATTTGGCTTTCTGGAAAGCTTGATTCTGTTACTGTGTTGATCTTTTTAAAAATTACTCCATAATCCAAGCCACTCACTCATGTAAGGAAAGTTCATCTCTTGTTGATTTATGCTAGAGGCCAGCAAAGTTGTTCTGTAAAGTGCCACATAGTCAATATTTTGGCTCTGCAGGTCATGTCTTTTTGCAACTATTCAACTGTATGGTAGTGAAACGGCCGTACTCATAGACTGCTTTTGTTCGTAAATGAATGGGCATGGCTGGTTTTGGCCTGTGGTCTTATTTTGTTGCCCCTGACTTTTACTATAATTAGAATCACTTCATAATTTTTCCTTGGCACAATATCATGTTTTTGGAAGTTTAACTTAAAAAATTAATGCAGATTTAGAAAGATAATTGATGTACAATAAACTGCATATATTTAAAGTGTATAAGTTGATAAATTTTCATGTATGTATGCATCTGTGAAACCATCATCATAATTAAGATAATGAGTATAATGTCAGCCCCATAAAGTTATAAAGTTCCTTTATAATTCCGTGCTCTACCTAGCCCCATACCTTTCCAGTGACATGCTGTTACTATAGGTAGTTTTTTTCCCCTAGAGTTAGATAAATGGAGTTATATAGTATGTTCCATTTTTTTGGTCTGGCTTCTTTCATTTAGTGTAATTCTGAGATTCATCCATGTTGTTGGATGTATCAGTAGATCATTCCTTTTTATTGCTGAGCATTATTGCATTGGATGTAACACATGGATGTAACACAGTTTGTTTTCCCGGTCACCGGTTGCTGTTTTTGTCTATTACAACTAAAGCTATGAACACCTGTGTACAACTTTTTGCATGGACATATGTTTTCATTTCTCTTGAGTAAATACCTAGGTGAGCATTGATTGGATCATAAAGTATTGTAGATTTAACTTTTTAAGAAATTGTTAAACTGTTTTTCAAAGTGGTTCCACTATTTTACATTTCTACCAGCAGTGTATAAAAGTTCTAGTTTCTTTACATTCTTGCCGACACTTGGTATAGTCAGGCTTTTTAATTTTCTAAAATTAAAAGATGTTGTGAGCATCTTTTCATGTGCTTACTTGCCATCCTGTATCTTTGGTGAAGTGTCATTTTTATCCTTTTTTTTACTGGATTGTTTTCTTATTACTGAGTTATGAAAGTTTGTTTCATGTTCTGGATATAGTCCTTTTTCAGACACATGCTTTGCAAACATTTTTCCCAGTCCGACTTGTCTTTTCATTCTCCTAGCTGCTTTTTGAAGAGCTGAATGTTTTAATTTTTATGAAGTCTAATTCATCAGTGTGTTCTTTTGTGAACTGTGTTTTGGTGTTGTATATACAAAATCTTTGCCTGGGCAAGGTCAACAAAAATTGTTTCCTGTATTTTCTTGTAGAAGTTTTTATTTCTACATAGAAATAAAAGACGGTTTTACTTTTAAGTCTGTTATTTTAACTTTTAAGTCTGTCAGTTAACAGACTTAAGTCTGTCAGTTAACTTTTTTGTATGTGATATGTGGTGTGGGTAAAAATGCACTTTTTTTTTTAATAAGGACTGAAGTTCAATACTGTGCATATGGAGGGCCAGTTGTTGCAGCACTGTTGCTCTCCAGTGAATTGTGTTTGCACTTGGGTGAGAAGCCAGTTGTTCCTTCATGTGTAGGCCTGTTTCTGGACCTATTCTGTACCATTGATCTGTTTGTCTTTTTGGTGATGCCACACTGTTTATATTACTCCGTAATAAGTTTTGAAATCAGGTAGTGTTAGCTCTGTTCTTCCATTTCAAGGATGTTTTTGGCCGTCTGAGTGGCACGTTGGTTAAAAGCTGGCTTGGGACGCCAGAGGGCCCCGGTTCAGATCCCACATGAGGGCCAGCGACACTGCCCTCTACAGCTAAGATGGTGAACAACAGCTCAACCTGGAGCTGGGCTGCCGTGAGTCGCCGGCGACGGCGTAGGCTGCAGCCCCTGCTGCAGTGGGTTGCCATGGGCTACCTTGTGTAGCCAGCAGCCCGCGTGAGCAGCCAGCAGCCTCTGAACGGCTGTCCAGAAGCCGGCGACTGATCTGCCTCGCCCGGGAAGAGTGCAATGATGGTGCCAACTTGGACCAGTGAAGCAACGTCCTCCACAACTAGACTGAAGAACAAAAGGACAGCAACTTGTCTGTTCCCCTTCCCGCAATTCCCCAGCGCTGTTCCCGTCCCCCAATTCCCCAATTAAAAAAAAAAAAAAAGATGTTATTTTAGGTCCTTTGCATTTCCATATGAGTTTTGGAATTAATGTGTCAGTTTCTACAAAAACCCTGGCTGGGATTTTGATTGGGATTGCATTGAATCTGTGGAACAGTTTTGGGGAGAATTGACATCTTAAAAATACTGAATCTTCTGACTTATGAATACAGTATAGTTTTTTATTAAAGGAGAAATATTTAGGGTTTCTTCAGTTTCTCTTAACATTTTATAATTTTCAGTGTACTGGGCTTGTATGTCTTCATCGTATTCTTCATAAGTATTTCATACTTTTTGATGCTTTTGTGTTTTTTTAAATTTTTCAATCCTTGATTGTTTATTGCTAGTATAGGAATACAATTGATTTGGGGTATAGACTTTGTATCCTTACATCATGCTAAACTCATTCATTAGCCCTTGTAACTTTTTTGGTAGATTTCAATCATGTTGTCTACACAAAGCACGCCTTCACTTCTTTCTTTCCAAATTGGATGCCTTTTGTTTCTTCCCCTGTTGCACTTCCTAGACTTGTTAACCCGATGTGGAATAGAAGCACTGAGATGAGACCTTCTTGTCTTGTTCCTCATTTTAGGGGAAAACGGTGTTTCACCATATGAGCAAGTTAGCTTAGGGTTTTTTTTTGTTGTTGTTGTTTTTTAATTTTATTGGGCAACGGCCATGGTCATTGGTTACACATTGCTTTCATGCTACAGTGGCATCGTTGACTCTTCTAGGGAGGGTGCAGCTCCCAGTGGCCCATGTGGTGATCAAACTGGCAACCTTGGTATTATCAGTACCACACTCTAACCAGCTGAGCTAACCAGTCACCCAGCTTAGGTTGTTTTGTAGATAACCTTTTAACAGGTTGAGGAAATATCCTTTTTATTCCTAGTTTGCTGAGATTTTATCAGAAAGGAATGTTGGCTTTTGTCAAATGCTTTTTCGGATTCTACTGAAATAATCACAGTTTTTCTTTTTTGTTAATATGGTGAGTTAAGTTAATTTTTTGAATGTTTATCTTCCACGGATAAACTCTGCTTGGTTATTTTACTTGTTATCTATTGCTCCATAACAGGTTTACCCAAAACTTAGTTAACCCAAAGCTTAAATCCACAGCACAGAGTCGTTATCTCACAGTTCCTGTGGGTAGAGTCTTGGGGTGATGTTGGTGGCTTTCCTACTTCGGACTCTCACAATGAATGCTGCATTAGGTGTTCGTAGCACTGTGGCTTCATGTAGATGTGACTCGGGAGGACCTGCTTCCAGGCTCATGGGTGTTGACAAAGTTTAGTTCCTTGCGGGTTCTTAGACACACTTCAGTTCCTCAGCTGTTATTTAGAGGACTCTCTTGGTTCTTTGCCACCTTTGGTTTGTCCATAGACTATTTCACAGTATAGCAGCTTGCTTCGTCAGAGTGAGCAAGCAAGAGGGCAAGAGAGAAGTGAAGCAAGACAAGATAGAAGTTAACAGTTTTTTATAGGCAAACCTTTCGTGACACCCTGTCTCTTGTACAGCATTCCACAAACCCCACAGAGAGGGGATTAAATGTGGGCGTGAATTCCAAGAGGTGGATATCAGTAATAATAATTTCAAGGCCGGTTAAGTGGCGCGTTGCTTAAGAGTTGGCTGGGGACGCCAACTCTGAGTAGTGGGGCCCCGGTTCGGATCCCACATAAGGGCCAGTGACACTGCCCTCTACAGCTAAGATGCTGAACAACAGCTCGACCTGGAGCTGGGCTGCCATGAGTTGCCGGCGATGCATAGGCTGCAGTGGGGCTGGCTGGCAGCTGGTGTACGCTTTCATGAACTGCTGTGAACTGCCATCCAATGGCCGGCGACTGATCTGCCTCACCCGGGAAGAGCACAATGATAATACCAACATGGGCCAGTGAAGCGACGTCCTCCACAACTAGACTGAAGAACCAAAGGACAGCAACTTGTCTGTTCCCCTTCCCTGATTCCCCAGTGCTGTTCCCTCCCCCAATTCCCCAATAAAATCTTAAAAATAATAATTTCAGAATCTGCCTACCACAATTATGATATATTATCCTTTTTGCATATTATTGAATTAGATTTTTAAAGATTTATATAAAATTTTTATACCTGTGTTTATGAGGTCTGTAGTTTTCTTGTAATGTCCTTGTCTTGTTTCATGTCAAGATAATTCTGGTCTCAGAATGAGTTGGAAAATGTTTCCTTCAGTTTCTGGAAGAGTTTGTTTAGGATTGGCATTATTTCCTCCAACATTTGGGAGAATTTACTAATGAAGCCGTCCATTGTATAGTTTTGAGTTATTTTTATATATTTCAGATAAAGCTTTTAATTATAAATTTAATTTCTTTAATAGTTATAAGGCTAGTCTCTATTTATGGAGTGTTTCTTTGAAAGAATTTGTCAATTGACGTCATGTTGTTCATAATATCCTTTTATTATGTCTAGAATCTGTAGTAAAAAAAAGTCCCCTCTTTCATTCTTTAATTTTTTAGAAAAGGGGCTCATTTATTTTAAATTGGGGCTCACTGTTCCAAGTGTATAAAAAAAAATTAGAAAATAACTCCCCAACTCCCTCTTCCATTTATTTATTTTTAAAAAATTTTATTGGGGAACAGCCATGGTCATTGGTTACACATTGCTTTCATGCTAAACGACATAGTTGACTTTTATAAGGAGGGTGCAGCTCCCAGTGGCCCATGCGGGGATCGAACAGGTGACCTTGGTGTTGTTAGTACCATGTTCTAACCAGCTGAGCTAACTGGTCACCCCCCCCCCCACCTTAGCCATTTTTAAGTGGACAATTTATAGTGGCTAGTACTTTCACATTGTTGTGCAACCATCTCCAGAATCCCATTCATCTTTAAACTCATCCTTTCACTTTTAACCTGTGTGCCTTTATAGCCTAAGTGCTTTTCTTATATATTTAGACCGTTTACACTTAATGTGATTATTCCTATGGTTAGTTTTAGTTGATCATTTTGCTGTGGTTTTATATTTGTCTCTTCTGTTCTTTGTTCCTTGTTTTGGACTTATTTTAGATTGAATGACTGATGTAATTTCATTTGGTCTTTTTTGTTGGCCTGTTACACCTGTTTTGTGTGTGTTTGCTTTAGGGTTTTCAGTCTGCATGGTGTACAGCCTCATAGTCTACCTTCAGGTGTTACAACCCCTCATATGTACTATATAGTAGAGGAACCTTAACAGTAGTAAATAGACTTGCATCTCTCTCCTTTTTTTTTTTAAAGGATTTTATTGGGGAATGGTGTGTTTTTCCAGGACCCATCAGCTTCAAGTCAAGTAGTTGTTTTCAATCTAGTTGTGGAGGGCACAGCTCAGTGGCTCATGTGGGGATCGAACCGGCAACCTTGGTGTTATGAGCCCTCACTCTAACCAACTGAACTAACCCGCCTCCCCATCTCTCCTTTTGGCCATTGTGGAACTGTTGTCATACATTTCCCTATATGCATGTGTGTTCTCCTTCTTGTTTAAATAGTTATCTTTTAAAGAGATTTAAATAAGAAAAATTCTCTACATTTACAGATAACATTTCCAGGGCTCGTCATTCCTTTGCGTAGCTCTGTTTATGCATTTTTTTCTTTCTTGCCTGAAAGACTTCTCTTAACATTTGTTTTTGTTCAGGTCTACTGGTGATTAATTCTTTCAACTCATTTTATTTCTGAAAACTCTTTATTTTTCCTTTTTTTTTGAAAGAAACTTGCACTGGATATATAGAATTCTAACTTAACATCTTTTAAAAAGGACTTTAAAAATCTTGTACCACTGCCTCTCAGTTGCACTGTTTATGATAAGTCTGTTGTATTTATTTTTCTTTTTATGAAATGTGTCTTTTTTCTCTCTGGCTACTTTAAGATTTTTTTTCCAATCACTGCTTTTGAGCCATTTAATTATCACTTGACTTGGAGGTATTTTCTTCAAGTTTCTTGTGCTTGAGTTCCTTTGAGCTTCTTGAAGGAATTTTGGGGTTCTTAATTTTTATTGAGTTTGGAAATTTTGGGGCATTGTTTCTTCAAATATTATTTTTATTTCGTCCTCTTTCTGAACTCCCAATTCCTCAAACTCCCCTTGAAGTTGTCCAACAGCTCATTTAATATTCTTTTCTTTTTGGACTCTTTTTCTATTTGTATTTTTTTGGATTCTTTTTTCTATTCACTTCAGATAGTTTTTGTAGTTCACTAATATTTTCTTCTCTACTTATATTTGCAGTATATTTGTTTTCGCCAACATTTTTAAAAATTTCTACAAGTTGGTTAAATAGATAGTCCATGTCTCTACTTTACTTATTCAACATATGGGATAGAGTTATCATTATTTTAATGCCTTTGTTTTGCTAATCCTATATCTGTGTCAGTGTACAGTTGGTTTTCATTTAGATGTGTCCTCATTCTGGCTTCTGTTTTTCTGCTCCTTTAACATGCCTTGTAATCTTTGGACACTAGGCATTTTGCATTTTACCTTTTTGAGTACTAGATATTTTTGTATTTCTCTATTTTGTTTAAGCTTTATTTTGGGACTTAGTTAAATCACTTGGAAAGTTTGTTCCTTTTGGGTCTTGATTTTAAGATTTCTTATTTGAACAGTGTTCAGTTAGGGTAATTATTCCCCACCCATTAGTGGGTGGGACAAGACCATTCTGAGTACCTGGTGCTCCGTGAATGTGAGGTTTCGGTCTGGCTGGTGGGCACAGGTGCTGTTCTTCATCCTGTGTGAGCGCTGGGCACTGTTCGCTCTATCCTTTTGGATAATTCTAGACCAGCTTTGGTTTCCTCATAGTCATGTGCTCATCAGTGTTCTGCTGGAATACGCAAGGGGGACCTTCTGTGCAGCTCTCTCTTCGCAGGTCCTCTGGCCTGGGAATTCCAGCCACCTTGGTTTTACTGGACTCGGCTCCATTTTCTCAAATCAGGGGGTCAGGCCACTGTGAAGTTTGGCCCGGGTTCTCCTCCCTGTGCCATGTTGGAAGCTTTCAAGGCAGGAGGCCATGGCAAACACAGGGCTCACCTTACTTGGTTCTCATTTGTTAGACATAACTGTTTTTCATTGTTTGATATCAGGTATCTAGTAAACTGTTCTTTCATGTATTTTGACTGCTTGTTTCAAAGAAGGAGGGTTAATCCAGTCTCCGTTCCTTCATCTTGGCTGGAGGTAAAAACCTAATGCACATTGCATTAAATTTAGAAAAGTATTTGAATTTGGCTCAAGGTATGCTTTACTGCTTTCAATTTTGAGGGAAAATTGCACAGTATTCTATAAAATGAGTCAAATACTAGGTACATATTGAGCATCAGCTATAAAGCACCTTCATACCTAATATAAACTTGTATACTGTGTAATGTTACCGTATTTAAACATGCAGGAATTCCTGTCCTTTTTCCAGATGTTGTTTAAACCTATTTCAAGATTGTCATCTTGTGATTAGAGTAATAATTTTGTCAACCGTTAAGGTACCCAAACACTTTTTAACTCTTTTTCTCATTTTACATTGTGAAAAATGACACACAGTTTAAGATTGTCATCTTAATGACATCTATACTTTTGGTGTTGTCTTTTTTTATTCTTCTGAAAGCAAAGCCTCTGCTTGCTATTTTGCCTGTTATTTGAAAATCAAGTAAAGAAAAGGAAACTTCAAAACATGGTTTTCTCTTCCAGATATAACAAGGAGTATATGTTTATATCGCATTTAAAAGCCTCTGTCAACTATAAATTTGGTATGTTGCACATTATGACATATAGATTTGAAATCTTGAAATAAATTTCAAGGGTAACGTAAGCATTGAATTCTTTACAGAATGAATTCTCATCCCCCTCTTCAAGGTGGTGTGTGTGCGTGTGTGTGGATGCGTGTGTATGTATGTTGGGGTGTGTGTGTGTGTGTGTGCATAATTTACATAGAGGGCCATTAGCAAATAAAAGTCTCAGAAAATATAAATAAAAAGTACCCATCTTAATGAGTTTTACTCTCTTGGGTGGCGGGAGACATGAAAAAAAACGTGAAGATTTTTGTTGCATTGATTCTTCTAAGAAATAACTAATTTGCTCATAGAGTAATATTTCTACATGGGCTCTATAAAACTCTTATATGATCATAAAATATCAAGTATGTCGTTTTTTCATATAAGAAGAAAATCTTTTAATTATTGCCATTTAAAGTATTTTTACCAGGAACTTAACAAATGTAAAAATATATATTTATGGTGTCCTCAAGAGATCCTTGCTTTGAAATTTAAAAAGGAAATTGCTTTCAGGTCTTTGTCTGAAGCTATGTCAGTGGAAAAAATTGCTGCAATCAAAGCCAAAATTATGGCTAAGAAAAGATCTACTATCAAGACTGACTTAGATGATGATATAACTGCTCTTAAACAGAGGAGTTTTGTAGACGCTGAGGTAGATGTGACCCGAGATATTGTCAGCAGAGAGAGAGTGTGGAGGACAAGGACAACCATCTTACAGAGCACGGGAAAGGTAATTTAAATATTTACTCAGTCATTAGAGTGAGTGTTCTTAATCTGTGATTGGTTATAGAATTGCTTAAAATTTGCTGTCAGGAGGAGGTTTCTAGTTTATTTCTGAAAGCTTGGTAATGTAGATATCGAAGTGGCCATGTTTGCCATTCTATTCTACCCTGTGGTTGGTTGTTGGTCACCAGAGAAGCTGATGAAAAAGTCTGAATTCAAGTGCAAGCCCCTTGCTTTACACCTCATTCGTAAATCCGAAGAGTGGCCCAATTTTCTAATGGAGCAGATTTTTGCTTAAACCCAAGGAATAGGAACTATTGATAAAAAGCTCTCTGGTCATTAATATTATTAATTCTTTTCCTCCACAAAGTAGAGAACTAATGAAAATTAGTCAGCAAACATTTACTGTGAGTATTTATATATTCTTTTGTGTAGATGTAGCAATATTTATTTGTTCCTTATTAATAGAGTCAGTTTTTATTTTTTAGCTATAGGATTATGGGATTCCCCCCTCCTCCTCCTCTTCTCCCTTCTTTTCTCTCCTCTACCTTCCTGTTAATGATTAAACATAATGTATTAAAAAGCATCCTAGTACATACACCTTTGTGCATTTATGTGTGTATAGCAAAAGGATTAATTCCTAGAAGCAACTTGCTGTTAACGGAGGTGTGCCCTTTAAATTATAAAAGATAAAAATTTGAAAGATACTGAATGTCCACTATCTCAATGGATCTCCAAAAAGTTTGCATTGATTTGTCTTACTTACATATTTTCATCTGTCTTTCCCTCCCTCACCTCCCAGTTTTTTCCTAAATGTTAATTCTGCACTGATACACAGTTGTTAATAGTGAGGATTTAGTAAGAAGGTTTGTACAAGAGTGCGAATTACTGATGCAAGTGAACCTGTACGTAGGTCTTGGCAGACTGGTTTCATTTGCAGATTTTGGATTTTGACCTAAAATTTACTGTGTCATTTCAGTAAGAACAAACTACTAGAAAAGAGTATATGAAGGAAAGAATTATTTTTCTTGCGTTCTTTGACTTGTTTTACAAAGTACTTGAGCTCAAGATTAAAAATCATCTCTAGAGCTTAGAATTCTAGAGAAATCTGAGAACATGAAGTAACTTCCATTTTTGTGTTTGCAATAAAGTGATCTGTTTATGCTCATTTTTACAGCCTAATATGGGACTCATAGTTGAATATTGTGACATATTGTTCTACCAGTGTGTATTATAATTGTTGAAAAATCTGAATTTCATAGTAAGAAATAAAACATAGATGATGTGCCCCATCTTGTAGACTGACAATTAAGCTTTCGAATAACTGAGATGAACAATTTTTATTGAGCTCTAGGTGGCAGGATTGTACCATCATTTCAAAATTTAGTGTTCTAATTTAATTTAGTGGTGTTGGCATCACTGTATAATTTTAAAAATAGGTTAATTTAAGAATTGTTTGGTACTAGGTTTCCTTCTGTGAGTATTAACATTTTTAAAAATAAAAAAGCTACTTTGATATTTTCTCTGTATACTGTTTTATGTGCTAAACTCTAAAAACCTTATAGGTACTCTTGGCTCCAAAGGCCCCAAAATTTTAGACAGACCTTCGTTATTCCCAGGTATCAGGGCCTCCTTATTTTATGGATTTCTGGAATAAAAGATAGGTTGAAGATTCCCACATAAAGCAGCCTGATTATATAACGCCGTTAAAAACACATTTTAAATGTATGTTAATTAGTATTGTCCAGCGTTGAAAAGTTGATAAAAAGAGATCACTTAAAAGGACCACAAAAATCACCTGTAATTCTACCACAAAAATAGTGATGACATTTTGATTGATTTTTCCAGAGTTCGTGTCTCTCACACAATACTGTATTATTTTTAAAGTAATGAGATTTGATTTTTATCAATTTTCTTAATTGTATTAAGACTTTATTTGCATCAGTCACTGCTTTAACCTTAGCAATCCTGGTACAAAAGCAGCGGTTGGTTCACCGCTGGATCTTGGCATGAATGAAGGCATTGGCACCCATTTTACTAGCAGCCATAGTGGTGTTCTTCACTCACGAATACTGTCCTTGGTGAAATTTTAAAATTTGCTAATTTTATTAACTCTTGACTTTTGAATAACACCTTTCTAGTATTCTGGTTGATGAAATCTGAATTATACAGCACTTCTATATGCTGAAATACGATGGTTATCTCCAGGAATAACACTTACGTCATTGTTTAGATTGTGTGCTGAACCAGCTGCTTTCTCACTGAAAACCATTTTTTATTTGAATAACTGTTACTTAGACTTTTATGTTTGGCGGACATTTTGTTTTTTGAAAATGAAGGAAGTAAATCTTTTTCTTTAAGGGACACAATTGACAGTATTTCTTGCCAGCAATGAAATGGGAGCTTTTATAAGATAGAGTTTTGGGAAGTTTCTTTTTGCTACTGGGACCTTAACAGCTTCCTAATTCTAGACTCTTCTGGTGAGATCTGTGATGATGTTAACAAATGTAATTTGTTGATAGTGTATAATACACTGTGTTAATATTTGGTAAATTTGCAGTGATCAATATTTTCCAGATGACCAATGCAGGCTATTGTGTGAGTAAACAAAAAAATCCATTTAATGTACAAAAGAGACCAGTGGATTTTAAAGGAATAGTACAAAACGTTTACAGATCTGGTTTCTACATTGCAGTAACCTTTAAGGAACTATCACTGAGCTTTGGTATGATATCAAAGAAGAACATCCAGTCCTCTGAAAGGGATTATACTACTCTACTTTCCCACGCGTCTGTGTGAGGCTCCATTTTCTTTTATATGCTTTGACCAGAACAAAACAAGACATCACAAGAAACAATGAATGTAGAAGTAGATTTGAGAACACAGCTATCTTATATTAAGCCAGACATTAAGGAAATTTGCAAAGATTTAAAATAGTGCCATTATATCTTGTCATCACTTTTTGTGCATTTTGGAAAATAGTTTACAGAAAGTATTGGTGCCTGAAAGCATTGAGCCTATACTAAGACTTCAGCAAGGGATCCCCTGAAACAGGGGACACCAAGCTATTCACTGCAAGTAAGGGGTGGTTCCACAGATTCAGGAATAGGTTCACCCTGAAAAATATAAGAATTATTGGAGAAGCTGCATCTGTTGATGCAGCCGCCACATTCCAGGCAGTTGAAGAAGTGGTTAGGGTTTGGTGAGACACTGTGGTTTCAGGAATCCACTGGGGGCCTTGGCACCTCCTTGCCTGTCCCTGCAGATAATGGGACCACGACTGTGGTAGTTGGTTCAGAATTAAGAAGCCTCTTTTGACAACACATCTGTCATATTTTACTTAAACTTTAACTTATTTCCTGGTTCCAATTTGAATGAATGCAGACTATGAATAAATTCGCAGCCAGTTACACAGTTTAAGTAAAGGGAAAATAAATGAATAAGACTGGATTTACAATAGTTGGTCTTTTGACCCCTTCCCCTGCATTTATGTAGCTGATTTTTACTTATGTGTGTAATAGTAATATCTCATGATATAGTAGGGAAAAATTGAGAGGAAGAAAAAGTCTGAGATTGTTAAGTAAAGTTACTGCCTTTGAATGTTTAACCGGTCTTAATTAAAATCCATTTATATTTTAGAATTTTTCCAAGAATATATTCGCAATTCTTCAGTCTGTAAAAGCCAGAGAAGAAGGGCGTGCACCTGAGCAGCGGCCGGCCCCAAATGCGCCGCCCGTGGTAAGGATGTTTTACTGCTTATGTAGTCATTGTATTGAAAACGACACTTGTTTTTCAGTATTGTAATTTTTTTTTTTTTTTTTTAAGATTTTTATTCGGGAATTGCGGGGATGGGAACAGTGCTGGGGAATCGGGGGGAGGGGAACAGACAAGTTGCTGTCCTTTTGTTCTTCAATCTGGTTGTGGAGGACGTTGCTTCACTGGCCCAAGTTGGCACCATCATTGCGCTCTTCCCGGGCGAGGCAGACCAGTTGCCGGCTTCTGGACAGCCGCTCACTGCGGCTTGCTGGCCGCTCACGCTGGCTGCTGGCTACATGGTAGCCCATGGCAACCCACTGCAGCAGGGGCTGCAGCCTATGCCATCGCCGGCGACTCACGGCAGCCTAGCTCCAGGTTGAGCTGTTGTTCAGCATCTTAGCTGTGGAGGGCAGTGTCACTGGCCCTCATATGTGGGATCCAAACCGGGACCCTCTGGCGTCCCAAGCCAGCTCTTAACCATCACGCCACTCGGCCAGCCCTCAGTATTGTAATTTTGAAGACATCTCATCTGAAAGTTTCTCAGTCAGTATATTCTAAACCTTTGGTTGCTTCAATGTACCTGAAGTTAGAAGTTGCTTCCGCAGTAATTCTTACCTGGAGATATCCCTGGGTCTAAATTTGAAAGGGGTTAATTAGGAAACACCCTCTGAGGAGTTGGGTAAACTGTAGCGGGCCTTGTGGCGGTGGCTTGGGACAATCACTGAGCACTGTTAGAAATAGAAACCCTACCAGTGTCCACTTTGGGACTCTTTTAAATCATTGGTATCTGTGACTTCCGGGTGAATGTATTGTGTTTCTCCTCATCATGGGTTATTTGGTCCTTTCAATGGGCTTAGCTTTAGCCATTTGGAAGGTTGACTTCCTCACTCTTTGAGTCCCACGTAGGTCCCCCCAAAGTAAATTTCATGTATGACATAGTGCCTGTATTTTAACTCAAACATACCCTCCAATTTGGTTGAAAATCCTTCTAGCTAGTTTCATGTGATTCAACAGTATCTTGGAAATAAGCATGCGATGACTCCCCCCTTTTGTCTTACTGGCTACAGTAAGCAAAAAGCTTAGCAAACAATACCCTTATTGTGGTTTTTATTATGAGTGTTAAGTAACAATTTAAAACATTAACATGTGACTCATAATGAATTTTTCTACAGGATCCCACATTGCGTACCAAACAGCCCATCCCAGCTGCCTACAACAGATATGACCAGGAGCGATTTAAAGGAAAAGAAGGCAAGTTACTGACTTTTTATTTTCCTTTTACTGTGGTTGTGCTCAACTTGAGAAGCAGTATAGCCTGAAGTTTAAGAGCAGAGCTTGACAAACTAACATCCGCAGGCCCGATTGGGCCCTCCACATGCTACTGTCAATGGTGTTGTTGGAGCACGGCTGTACTTGTTCATTTTGGTGTTATTGATGGCTCCTTGGTGCTGTGACAGTGATACCGAGTTGTGACAGAGATCGTGTGGTCTGCAAAGCCTAAAAATACCATCTGGTCTTTTACAGAATAAATTTGCCCGCCCTTGGTTATCTGCATGGATTCTCGACCCAGAATACCTGTGTCACAGTTACTTTTTCCGTGAACTTGGATGAGTTACTTAAAGTGCATTCTGCCTCAACTCCCTCCTTTGTAGCATTACAGTACTAATAACAATAGTAGTACAATACCTCTCGTAGGGTTACTGTGGGCATTAAACTAGTTAGTAAATGTAGAGTCTCTAGAATAGTGACTGGCATATAATAAGCTATTATATATTTTTTCATATATAGTATTTATGTATATGCACACACATTGTATTTGCTGTTATTAATATTAGTCCTGTTTCTCAAAAGTTTATTTTAGAGTGGAGATTCTATCAAATTATGTCTCCCAAATTATGAATGTGTCCATGAGAACATGGGGTGCGTACACTTGTCGCCAGGCCCTCACGTGGTACGCTCTGAACGCCCCGTGGTGTAATGGCTAATGCAGTCCTGACCTGGTTCCACGTCAGCTTAGTGAGGCGCTTAGTGAGGCGGGACTGCTGGCAGTGTGACTTCTCTTGAGATCTTCATGTATCATGACTTGATTCATGAAAAAATGAGAAAGAAACAAATGCAAGCCTAACATTTATGATTTTTTTTTTTTTGCATAATCTGAAATCTCCATTTAAGTTTCATTAAGGCTGTATTGCCTGATGCAGCGAACTTTGTGTATGACTTCATTCACTGGACAGAAGCATGTACTAACTTCATGCCCTAGAGGACGGTGGTCCATGCTTTATTCCCTGCACGGTGTACTGTGGAATGAATTATGGAAAGTAGGGGGTGCACAGCCAGAGCCCACAGACCAAATCCAACTGTCCCCGGGCCACACCGGCCTGTGCCATTTGTTACATATAGTGTTTCTCCTGCTTTTGCACCCTAGCTGCATAGTTCAGGAGTTGTGACAGAGACTGTGTAGCTTGCAGTATGTAAAATGTTTATTATGTGACTCTATTGAAAGGCATGTTGGGACTCTGTCCTGAACCTTACTCCTCTTTACAGTATGGCTTTTCTACAAGTTACATCGCATGCCTATTGTAATTTTGGAACACATCTTTTTATAAGTTAAAGACTTCTCATGATAATAGATGCTTTTAGTAGTACTGTAATTGAGTATTAGGAATGGATAATTGGGGGGTTATAAAAAATTTTATTCTAATTTTTGATATTCCTAAACAACTGCCTGACTATTGAACACAAGTGCAGAGGTAGTCTAACCAGCTTCTACACAATGGGCTTGTCAGTGTGTAGTGAATATTTTTTTAGGCTAGTGTCCCTGTTAAACTTATCTTCACAAGTATGTCACTTAAACTATATGTATAGTAGATTCAAGGCTTTGTTATACTGTTGAACTGTCAAGATACGATGTCAGTTACCACGTTAGATTTGTTATTGATCATGAAATACATAAATTCTAATAGTGAACCCTTTTTCTGTATAGAAACGGAAGGCTTCAAAATTGACACAATGGGCACCTACCACGGTATGACCCTGAAGTCTGTAACGGTAAGTTTCTTTGCCGGCACAGGCTCCTGTTTCGAGCAGTTGGTGTGAGTAGCAGATGTGGAAGGAAATCTTTATTCTGCTCCAGTTTTTCTATTTCAAGCATTTAGCTTTAATGACCAATTATGCCGATAGGTCTGCGTGGTGATCATTTGATTCATGGGTGTCCTTAACTTTTTTTTTTTTTTACCTGAGTTGAGTGTGTTTAAATAAAATTTGTTTTGATTAATGCAGGTAGGAGGGATGCTGCCTGGTTGGAGTATTTAAAGCCAGTGAGGAGTAGCAAGGTCCAGTTTGAAGAGTTTTCTGCCACAGTGGCTTAGGTTCTTCAATCTTTTATGCTCTTTAAAAGGGCCGATGGCTGTGGTTGATGTAATGCTTATAAAGTGTACACTTCAGAACCAGATATGTGGGTGTCCACGACTGTAAGCCTTTGGTTCACTTGTAACAAAGTTTACTTTTTAGCCCCCTAAAGATGATTATATCTCGATATTCTGACTAAGCCATATTTGACACTTAGTTTTTAGTCAGTCATAGGACAGGGTGACATAGAGCAGGAATTGTGTTAACCTCATTTGCATATTTATATTATAGATCATTATGCCCTGTACACTTTAAAGTATTTTGTATATGCATTCGAGTGCCTTTGTATTTAAAACACTGATGCCAAGCTTACTGTGTCTTTGGGAGTCATCAGATCTTTGAGGACTCAGTATGACGTGGAGTCATTGTGCATTTGCTGTGATTTCTCAGAATTAAGATATGTCTTGCCATGCTTCACTCATTTCCAGAAACAGACAGCAAATAAATGTGGAGGATCTGATATTAAAAGTTGACTTTTTTCTTGTTTTTCGGGACTTCAAATTGGAATGGAGGATTAGATTTTTTGCTAATAGTATACGTGGTTTTCAATTGTTGTCAGATTTAATTTAGTAGTTTTGAAATTGTATGAGGACTCCTTAATTCATTCAGCAAGTACTTGTTGAGGACTTGTGTCGGACCCTGTTCTGGGTGCTGGGTCCGCAGCTGTGAATAAGACAGGGAGGGCTTCTTAAGGGTGAGCAGTGAGAGAAGCCTCTGTGAGGAGGTGACAGTGGAGCAGAGACCTGGCAGTGGATGGAGCATTCTGTGAGAAACAACGCAAGGGTCAAGGTGGAAGCCCAGTAGAGTGACAGCAGGAAGACCTGTGACTCTGGGGTCTAGTGAATCAAGCGAAAGTGAAAGAGACCAGATAGACCCATCTTATAACATCTGCCTAGTTCTTCCAGACTTCAAAATGAAACTCTTGGTTGTAAGATTTAACTTAAATTCTTAAAAGATTCATTTATTGATGTTTTCCTGGGCACAGACCTTGCCTACTGGCCGTTGCCAAGTGAATTATTGTGGAAGTCAAGTTGTTATCATTTGGTAGCCATCAAAGTAAGTTTTTTGTGGTTACTGGTGTCCTTTTTACTTTTGTCTCATCTGAAATGCCATTCAGTTGGTTTCATTACTGAGCTTCTATGCAAATAGTAAAACCGGTGATAGTTTTTATAGTGATTTCTTTTTTTACAAAACAGTTTCTCTAAAATCCAAGGACAACTTCTTAATTAAGCACCATGAGAATGATAATGGCTCTGCTTCCTCATCAGAAGCTTTGTTCCTGAATATGCTAATAATAGAGGTGAATTTAAATGAACTTGTGCTGTGTGATTTTACAGAAAGAATGAATCTCAAAAAGAGTACGTGTAGGAATGCAGCAGAAAGACTAAAAATGGCCAGATTTCTAGTGCTTTTACTATTTTAATACCCAGTTTGAATCTCTGCTGCTTATGACCTGATTCATTTTAGCAGTTTTTAGAAAGAATACATAGAGAAGTGTGAACTTGAAAGCTTTGAAGTTACTTTGATAAAATTTTTTTTTTTTAAATTGAATCTCAGACTTATGCTTTTACTTTAAATTTTTTTCATCCTTTTTCTTCTTTTGGAGTTAACACCTCATTTGTGAGCTTATGAGTTTCACCAACTTTGTACCTTGTTGTCCAGTTAAGACAGTTCCTCTTATGCTGTCCGCCGGATGTACAAGCAGTTCAGTGACTGCAGCTTGTGACAGAGGTCCAGAGGTGACTGTCTTCCTGGCTGGTGGGGCTCCTACCCACTGCCGTGTTCTTCAGGGCTTTGATAGGCCTAGTTGATGCACAGTTACTGAAATAGGATCAGTTCACATTACGATTGATCTACATAACTTTCTAGTTCAAGACACCAGACTTCTTTAGATGTAAGAATGAATTAATAAATCAACTTCTGCAGATGGTTAGAAAATTTTTATACAAATGAATTTTTTTCTATATGTATTATAAAAAGAGGTATGTGCTTTATGATAATATTTCGTAAGAGTCATAAGTTATTGAGATTTATGGAAATGGATGCCTTGCCAGGATATTTTGGTAATATTTGGTAATATTTCATAAAAGTAATAGTTTACTGAAATTCAGTACAGGGCCAGAAGCCTAGGTGTCTTTAAAGTTAATAAGTTAGTGTTGTTGGGTTGCTGGTTAACTTTTGACTTAGGCTCAGAAATACACTTCATAGTAAAGTTTCCAGAGAGACAAGATATAAATATTGAAGAGGTGTTTGAGGGCTTTTCTGAGTGGGAATCCTTTCCCCAGAGTGGGTTACTTGGGTTCTGTAATGTGTAAGATGGTGTAGGCAGGAATCGCATCGTTTTCAGTGTGTGGATCAAGAGGCCAGCCACACTGTCTCCCAAGCTCATGTGTCCCCACTTTGCTCCTTTGCTCCCTGCTGTTGAGAGCACTGGGGAGGCCTCGAGCTGCACAGAATCGGTGCATGTGAAGCCATCCTGGAGGTGGGACTAGGAACCATTCAGCGTGGGGAACACCAAAGTATGTTTTCATGGATTCCTTTGGTGAAAGGGGCTGTCTTAGACTAAGGAAGTGCCACTTGGCAGTGCTTTTCATTCTGTAGTAAATAAGAGATGATGACCTTTCTTTCTTAGTCAGGTAGTAGAAAAAACCTATGGTCCCACTGGAGAGGGAATAAGAAAAGATGATCAGAGTTCCCTCTGCTTATTGATAAGGATTTGGTAATTGAATTTGGAACTGTCTCATTTTCACCTCCCCATCTGGCTGGTTCAAGTTCAGGTGAAGGGCCACGTGCTGCAGCCCCTCTTCATTCTTTTCGCTGTTCTGAGTGGCGCGGACTCTGGATTACCTTGCTGTCTTAACATTTGTGAGGAAACATTTTGCACTCTGAAATTGTACAGATCAAAAGCTTTCCTTTAAGATCATTATTTGAATTGACTCTGACAGCCGTAGTTCTTAGGATAAGTCTTTGGGGAACCATTTTTCTGATAGTAAGTAAACTTGGGTGGATTTTCAGTGTCTATTAATAATGTTAGAGGTGTAATGATACCACCTTCAACTTGCACTCTGTGGAAGCGCCCGGCGTCTCAGCCTCTTCAGGAACTTTTCTTCTTAGCAGGAATGCGCACGTTAGCAGCCCCCCCGCTCCCTGGTTCGTGGCCCTTGGCCATCCCCAGTCAGTGTTGATCAGCATGTTCATCTCGGCCTGAAGCGTCCGGGTGCTCTAGGATCGGTGATGCCCGGATTCGGTCCGGACCAGGTCAGGGAGGGCGGAGACCATTGATGAGGGCTTCTTAGGCCCCTCCTTCCCTCCCTCCTCCTCCTCCTCCTGAGCAAATACTCCTTCACTGATTGTGATGTGTGTGCCATGTGCTGTGCTGGTGACCAGACCCAGACGCCTTCTCATGGTGTTACACACGGTCTGTTGGAGGAAAGGCGCATTAGTCACCCACTCAGATATGAACTGGTGGCTGTGCCCTGAGAACCTAACATGGGGACTGTTTAGGAGGAGTCAGAATCCTTCACCGAGGAGGTGATGCTACTTGAAGTCGGGTCCAAGTTTGAGCGGCAGTTGTAACTTGAGGATTGCAGGACAGCACATTTTCGGAGCAGTGAGCAAGAAGCAGGCATCGGCGCCCTGGCAGCAGAGAGGTTTGAAAGAAGGCTGGTTACTGTGTGGGTGGTAAGGGTGCCTGCAGGACAGTCCCTTCCTCGACTGAGACAGTCGGCCTGCTCATAGACGCGCGTGCGTGCCCATCCTCTGCCTCCCTTAGCGCACGCGTGTCTGCAGCCATTCATTCACTCTGCCTGTCTCATTGGGGCCCCAGGGAGGTCTCACTAGGCACCCGTTGGAATTCACAATTTTATTTTACTCACCAGCATTTAAAAACAAGAGTATGTCGCGCAGACAGTCTGGGTTTCCCCTCTTCCAAGATGTTCTCTGGCAAGACCGAGTCCCCTTCTAGCTTCTCAGCAGCTACTCCTGTCTGAGCCGCAGCGGCCTTGAGATCACGGGGTTTTCTCTAGGTCCTCACGGGCCTCGCGTTTCTGTGGCCGCTAGTTAGCCTGCTTCACCTCTTCAGTCCACTTGCTTAGACGCCAGTGGCCTTGCAGTTTGAAATCCCTGCTCTAAAACGGGCAGCGCTGGCTTGTTAGGGAGAAGTTAAACAGTTGGAAACACCGCTGAGTTCAGGTTTTGAAGTCAGTCCTGGCTTTGAATCTCAGCTCTTCCATTCGTTCAGCAGCTCATGAAGTTGAGCAGGTTATTTAACCTTTCTGTCAGTGGTCTTGTTCTTCTTTTATGGTAAAGGTAATTTTCGCATCTGAAAAAAGGTATGACAGTAACTTCCTTGGGGGTTTGCTCTGAGGTTTGAATGCATGTAGGCATACCTTGTGTAGCAGCGTTCCTGTCAATGCTGTTTAATTGTAGCACTGAATCAATTGTAGTTATTATAGCAATTTTTATATTAAAATATATTTTGTAAACTTAATGGTGAATAGTGCAGAAAACACTTTTTGTTTTAAGTTGGGCAGTATTTAGTGTGAACACTTACTTAGATGGCTGGGTATTAGTCTTACATTGATAACCTTCTTTGTGGTGAGAGAGATTAAATCTCATTTTACCTTAACATTTTGTCAGCG